TAAGTAAAGGTTACTTGATTAAACAGGTGAAAATGCAGGAGAACCAGGATATTCTCATTGGCAAGAATTAACTATGCGCTTAAACATGATTTAATATATCTCTTTAATATTCTGAGGATTGTATTTATTTCCATCTCAAAATGGGCACGCCTCAACAGGCGTTGAATAGGATATGTCTACATTGACTGGGCTTTCAACTCAGGAATATTCCAGATACCCCACCAACTGATTTACCATCACACAAAGCGTAATAATATTCCTGTTATTTTAGCATTAAAGAGAATATCTATTTGGATATTTTCTTTTTCAACATTTCATAAACCTAAATGTAATATGTGTATTCACTGCAGTTCATACCATTCATATAATATTACTTTTACATGCCTGACATTTTGAGGCGTGCAAAATAATGCATGGTATTAATGGTATGAATTGCAGTGACTACACCAAATACCAGAAAGTATATTTTATCTACATTTTGTTATGCCAAGAAAACTCAACCAAATGTAAAACTTTGTCTTGTTTGCAGAGATTGGGATGGGGTTAACTGGATTTGGGGTGTTTTTCCTCTTCTTCGGGATGATGCTGTTCTTTGACAAAGCACTTCTGGCCATCGGAAATGTAAGTCCAGCCATGCGTTACAAAATTACTTAATGCTGTATTAAATTGGTAATGCAATGCATATTATTCCACGTACTGCGTTCCAGCACCATTGCTTGTTATTTTCCGAACTTAAGTCGTGGATTGCAAATGTGAATTTCCTTCCGTATAATTGTTCTGCAGATTTTGTTTCTGGCCGGCCTGGCTTTTGTCATTGGTCTGGAGAGGACTTTCCGGTTCTTCTTCCAGAAGCATAAGTTGCGGGCTGCAGCATTCTTCTTTGGTGGGATTCTGATCGTGCTCGTGGGGTGGCCGATGATCGGAATGGTGCTGGAAATATATGGCTTCTTCCTTCTATTCCGGTAAGAATGAATGTGCTGGGGTTTCAGTGCTCGGACCAGCATTTAGATCAGTTGTGGTTTATTAATGACATCGCACCTCTGATGAACACGGATGCATAGCTGTCAACCCATACAGTTTACCCGTATTCTTGTGCAGGGAAATATATTTTTTAGTTCCATACGGCGTACAGCCGTTTCAATACAGGCTTTGTCGGATGAACGTTGAGATTTATAAGGGCTCGGGGGAACAATAAAGTCTTAATTGGTCTGTAATAAGGTAGGCACTGATAAGGGGTTGTCAGGCATACGGTTGGCTATCTATGGTGTGAAAGAAGTTCAACATACACCCTCTGGGTGAGCGTTATGTAATTTCCTTCTCTGGTTTAATATTGTCCAATGTAATTTTCACAGTCGTATCTGACTGGTGATATATTCTCACTTGCATTTGTGTTGGTTTTCTTTTTCATTTGCAGAGGATTTTTCCCAATCGTGATTGGATTTATCAGGCGAATTCCAGTTTTGGGGTCCATTTTGAATTTACCTGGATTAAGTTCGGTAAGTTGGAACCCAATCTAATATTGTGCTGCTTTTTTATAGGAAAGAAAGAAATCTTGGCTTTGAATTGTTATCGATGAGGACTTTTCCAGCGTTTACTATTAAACAACATTGCTTTACGAATGAAGTGATGGAACTTTAATTTAATGTTATGTTTCTTCTGTTAAAGTAAATGCATGGAAGTTGTAAAGGTATGTTATCTCTTGTATGTTGAAAATGTTTATCAAATTGTGTGCAACATAACTACATTTGAGAATATCCCTTGTTTAAAATGATTACAATGTTCTGTAAGATTCTGTAAATAAAGAATATACCGGTTGCTTAATAATGATAAATATAGAACGAATTCAAAATATCTACGTTATGATCTTTGAACTTGTGCTAACAAATTCCACATGTGCTGTACTGTATTGGCTGAAACCAGTACTATGGACACTGATCATATGGCAATGCACAGTAATGCTTTTTAATTTAACAGTATTGGTCCAAATCTGTGCAATAATTTGTTTTGTTTCTGCATGAATTGTAATTTTTATTTGCCGCGCTTACTGCAAAGAGGTGCAATAATAATGTTAAATGTCTGCATTTATAAACTCAATCTAATATAGAACTCCTGTTGTCTGTGATGGTGTGGGGGGGTTAGTAGTAATACTCTATTATCTGCTTTTGAACATGTATGTCACCTAGAAGCATTGGGGAACTCATCTCACGTGTGGAAACTTTGTGCAGCCAAGGGATTACAGTTCTGATAAAGTGTTTCCATAGCCTATTGTCTGATAATTGCAAACCGTTGATTGTGGAAAAGGGCAGGCATTTTACATCCTCTGACTTCCTCTGATAACATTTTGCAAGCAAGGGGTTTGTGAGGAAAAACTCTTCTGTTGTATTTTTGTTGCAGCTGGTGGACAAAATTGGGGAGAGTGACACGATGGTGTGATATGCTTTCCACTAAGAAGGGCCAAAGGACAAGACTACAGCTCTCTGTGCAGTGCGTCAAGATGTTAATGGAATAGCAACACATTTAAAAGAAAACCCTCCAAACACAGACTGGACACTGGAGGTCTAAACGCATTGTCTGGATAAAAGTGTTTCTTATATTGGATCTTAAACACTCTGCATGGAAACACAAGCACCAAGACTTTGTTTTTTTGTAATTTATTTTGCTTAATTTTTATAAGACCCCATTTTGAGCTTTTGAAGTGAAATACTGTAAGATTAATGCATTACTTGGTAATTAGTTGATTCCAATGATTTAAGAATTCAGGTTCTGTTGGCGGTAATATCAAATTATTGTGTTTAATCATGCAAAAATATTTAGATTTGAGTGAGTTGGAATATGTAAACATTTTAACTCCACGCAAGTCGCATTTGTAATGAAGCAAGGTTAAAGCTTTTCAGTAGAAATTCAAGCACGCATCTTATGCTTGATATTTTGAACTTTATGTAGAAACAATGAGGCATTTAAAAGGTTTGATGTATATTTCTACTGCTTAGATTGTACACAAAACACTATCCATGTTGTACGTGGTACAGTGATGTAAAATAAACTCCTTGTTAAGTTCTGTAAGAGCTGTTTTATGTCATGTGCTTTAAATATTAGCATTAAAACATCTGTACAATTCTGCAATCTTGCAACTTAAATAAAATACTGTACATCCAAATGTTTAATTGAAAGAAAAATAGCAGAAACACGGCCTTTGTTAGTGCTGGTAGGGATATAGACAAATTATGTATTTGAAGTTGACTTAGTTTTAGCATTTCAAAGTGTTTTCAAACGTTATTTTTGTAGGCATGTAACGCTATATCGAGGAAAAAAAACATTTTGTCCACCGCTAGAGGTGCTAAATTTCATCGCAGTGTTGAATACAATTCGATTCTTGAGCCAAATTGCGGTACTGTTAATTCATCAAATCGTGTGTGGACCATTCGTTACATGCCTCGTCTTCCATAACCTGTCTGCTATGAGCGTGTCGCGCCACTAGGCGGTGTTGTACACTCATCAATGCACTGAGTCAAGGCCTGTATAAAAAGTGTGCTTAATTTTAAACTGACAAAATGTTTGTATTGAGCTTACTATGATTTGGAAATGTATATTACACAATATTTCGCCCCTAGTTTGTTTGGGGATTTAAATTTTAAGCAAAACATTTTTTTTACGTGTAAACGCAAAAAGACGTGGCAAGGGCGTGTAGATTCTGGCATCAAGAGCGCTCGTCTCCTATCAGTTTTGTGAGGGGCCTTAATCTTAAAAACTTGAGACAAGCAAGCGGAATTGGGTTTTGAATTATTTACAAAATCTAAAGGCATACAAACGTTTACATTGAAGGGTGGGCCTTTTGGGCGACATCAGGAATTGTGTACACTTTTTTCCATACAGATGATGAAATCTTGCTGGTTTAACATCGTCTTTAAAAAAAACTGCGTCAATAGGTGTAAAATAAACGGACAGCACTGTCTTATCAGAAAGTGTTTTTTTGGTATTTTATAACTCCACGACACCACATTGTAATCATATTTGTATTAATTTGTATATTAAAGTGTGTGTTTCTGTGGTAATGGTTTCAGATCACCTTAGTTTATGGTGAAGTTGATAATTTACAATTCTTAAGTAATCATAAGGCTAGTCATTCAAAGAAATGTGCTCTTATCCCAGCTATTCAGTGCTTTTTTAAAAGTTGTATTGAAGAAATAAAGGATTAAAGATAAATGGTGAAAGTATTAGCCATCCCATTTGCTGACAACAGTCGCTATTACAACCAGTGGAAATTAACTACAGGAAAATGTTGAAGAGTAAAATCTAAATTTGAGCAAAACAAATGGCATGCACATGTTTAGTAAACAAAATGACATTAATTGATGGTTGGACGTTGCTAGGAAACAGAATATACCTATACATTTTGAAGGCCGATTGCAATAAAAAGGATGAAATGTTAAGGAGAGTTACAGCACCATAGAGTGCTTTAAAAATATGCATATGATCATGAAAAGCAACATACCATTGTGCCTGAAGAACGCTTCAATCGGTATATATTACCTACCATTGATCAATATAAACTACCAAAAATACGGAACAAAGCTGAAAAGTTCACAAAGAAGCACAAGAGAGATGCACGTTTGTAGTTACACCGAGAGACCGAAAGAGGAATGTTGATGAGACACATCGCTTAAAGGGTTTTATGGCTGATGGACAAGCCTGGTGATAAAATAGTAGCCAAGGGGGGAGATATAGCAACGAGATCAACTCTTGTGCCAGAAATGTGCCCATCGTAGGGCCTTAAGGGATGGCATCGTCCGTGTGAAGCAGCCTTCATCCAGCAGTGGATAGGTCAAAGCTGATATAGTTTTAAGTGAGAATGTTTTAACCTGTGAAAGTTTACCAACACATGCAGCTAATATGCTGTATGGTCTATTTGTTACAGTACATGGCCTGTACGTACCACTGCTCATGCGCGGTGAACTGCACTATTGCTTTGTATAGCAGTGCTGTCTGTAGTCTCGTGGGTGTGCTGTAGACGTGGCTATATAACTCCACTCACAGCCATTGTGTGTCAGGTAAATATATATTATATGCGATTTATTATGGGACTGTAAGATGCTATCTTTGGTCCATATGGTATGTAGTCAGTGCCTGGGAGGGCAATCGGACTTGGTCTCTTATTGTGATGATCAGGGGTCATTGTCCATGCCGTGTGTGGAGATAATTCATGTCTCACGTGATGCTTGAATGTTGTAAACACACAGAGCGTGCTTCGAGTTCACAATTTTTATTGTTAAGTAACAACAATAACAACAGTACAGTACACGAGTGAATGAACAATTGTGGTCTCCAGAGCACAGCATAGTTTGCACAGCCTTTAACACAAATTTTGCATAACTTGTTTAACTGGTGCACAGCATTGAACGACAGAGACGGCTGGTAGGCTACTTGTAAAATGCTTCTGCAGAAATAAAGATAGGAGCTGAGTTCTTGAGGAATATAAATATACAAACAAGATAGCCATGATATGAATGTGTGCGAGTAGAGGAACTGGGTGATTGGGGAACCAGGTGATCGGTAAATTGGGTCATGACGAAGCCGAGTGCTGGAGGAGTTGAGCGATGAGGAATCAGGTGACGGGTGTAGCAGGTACTATGCGAGTTTGGTTGGTGGTAAGAAATGCGATTGGTGGAGTCGTTGGTTGGCAAAGAGCAAAAAATGTCCACGTAAGAGAATGCCATTACAACGTAAGCAATATATGTTTAAAAAAAAAGACTTGGCGCATAAAAATAAAACCACACACGTCACTGACCCATGCCTTCCCGACCTCTTCTGACAACTCACCCCCAACTTCCTGTCCATAGGTTGGACATATGGACGCAGTGGCTGTTGGGAAACCGTCACCCTTTGTGTGATGTGCAAATTCGAGCAGTTAGGAGCGTGAATGTTTGCACATTGTCGCCACTTCCTTCAAAGAGACATGTGGCAGTGAGGAAATGCAGTCCTGGATTTTTTTGTTGCAAAACTGGGCTTTGAGCAGAGCTGTAAGATCCAGAAGGAATACACTTTTTTTTCTTCCGCAAATAAGATGCCTATCGCAGGCAACATGTGTAAGTTATCTTACACTGAATAATGTCAATATAACAGGGCCAAAGAGTAACCATAAAACCTATGTCACTGATGTCGGTAAACCCAATGAAAATGTACTCTAATGTACATTGACCAGTCATGGCCAAACGTTATTTCAGAACATTTGCCTTTGTAGGGAAAAAAATTGGCTATCAGTGTGTATTGCAATTGCTTGCCCATGCCACTGCTGGCAGAAGGGCATCCATCCACGGACTAGAGGGAGCTCTCGAGAGCCCCTCTAAGAGGGTATTTGGCCACTCTTCCACATTGGTGGGAACACCTACACTTTATAATCCACCGGCCAATCGACTAACTTTGTCTCACCCGTTTATACTGCCCGGTGGACAGAGGCATGGGAGGGGGTGGAGTGGATTTAAGAAACATGCCGGTTGTTCCAACTGATATGATTGGGGATTGAACTACCAACCCCTGGATTGCAAGTCCAGTTTGATAACCATTACACCGTGGCAGCGTGCTCGTATTATATGAGTTGCTGGCAGAGACCACAGGTTTTAGACCACAAAGTATTCTCACCCGAATGTTATGCTCGTGTCGTAAGAAGAAATACAATTACTCTACCATGTAATCTGCGGGGCTTGCCTCTACAATTTAAATCACTGACGATTCTAAAATGTACACAGTATTACTGCTAATGCCAAAAAGTTAAATTGTAAACGTCCCAATTCCACACACATAGCAAATAACGTCATCTTGTTATTGCCAAATATACACCGGAACTTTCAACGGATCCTTTAGACTCCTTTTCACAATTTGATTATAGATATATGTATTTTGGGGACATCAATCTTACACATTGTATTAAACATGCCTGCTCGGCTTTTCTGACGGATCTCAATGTGCACGTTCTATTCACGGTGATCACCTTATGGCTCATTGGGTGTGCGCCAGTGCTCCAGCACCTTGACCAAACCCAACGCCTTTGGGTCCAAAGTATTTTGCATAGCAGCCTGAAAAATAAATGAGAGTATGTTACTGTGAGTACCGTGTGTGTGGTGGGGAGCGGTAGTGCAACGGTTGGCACGCTGCGCTATGAACCCGGCGATCTGAGTTCCATTTCTGCTCACGGCCAACACCGGTGACCATTATCTGAACTGGTCCTGGGTCTCCCCTAGGTCGACTCAGCCTCAAATGAATACCTGGTGCGGTGCGTAAAAACATAGCAAGTAGGGAGACAAAGGCGGCCGGGCGTGGTGCTGGCCACCCACCCCCTCGTGTGCCGTGCCGGCCTTCCTAGGTGCTCACTAGCAGCACTTGCCCCAACAGTCTGTTAAGGCTATACGGGGGATCTTTGTCTTTTGTGGGGAGCGGTGGTGTAGCGGTTAGCGCGCTGCGCTTCGACCCCGGCGACCCGGGTTCGATTATAGCTCACGGCAAACACCGGTGACGATTATCTGAACTGGTTCTGGGCCTCCCCTAGGTAGGCTCAGCCTCAAATGAGTACCTGGTGCATCATGTAAACATCGCCACTAGGGAGACAAAGGTGGTCGGGTGTGGTGCTTACCACCCACCTCGTGTGCGTTCTGGCCTTCATAGGTGCTCGCTAAACAGCACTTGCCCCAACAACCTGTTAAGGCTATAGGGGTGATCTTTGTCTTTGTTTTGATACATAATTTAATTTCATCAATGCTAGCCATATGAGCAGTGGTGGTGCTAGGCATAAACAAACTAAGCAAGAGCTTCGGGTCCCAAACAGCTGAAAGGGTCCTCAGAATCAGAAAGCTAATTAATCTCCATCATCTCTATCTTGTTTGTATCTTTCTTCTCTAATCTCAATACATACAGTATACAGTGTCTCTTGTCTGTCTCTTGGGTCAGATAACTTTGAGTTGATAAATCAAAAAGGGGGCACCTCCAAAGCTAATGTTTGCTTAGGGCCCACAGGGGACCAGTACCAAAGATCCCCCGTGTAGCCTTAACAGACTGTTGGGGCTAAGTGCTGTTAGCGATCAGCACCTATGAAGAAGGCGGGAATGGCACACGAGGGGGTTGGGTGGCCAGCAACCACGCCCGGCCGCCTTTGTCTCCCCATTGGTGATGTTTACGCAGCGCACCAGGTACTCATTTTAGGCTGAGTTGACTTAGGGGAGGCCCAGTACCGGTTCTGATAATCGTTACTGGTGTTGGCAGCGCAGTGCTAGTCGCTAAACTACTGCACCCCTCCCATAGAGGGCAAGTATCAAATATCCCTCTGATAGCCTTGACAGACTTTTGGAGCAAGTACTGTTCGCGAGCACCTATGGAGGCACTGTGGCATCTGCACATAGACAACATGAGGTGTCAATCAACTGCTGGATGAAGTCCTGTCCATGCCATGTCAGACGTGGCAATTTGTTTGTGATGCTTTGTGAAGGGAAGGCCCGGAAACCAGTTCAGATATCACTCGCCACTTCTGCAGCTGAGATTTGAACTCAGGTTTCCAGGTTAAAAGCACATGTGTACTAACCGCTGTGTCACTTACTCCTCCCCTGCACACATACAGTATATTTACACGTACACACAAGAATGCAATAATGCACATAGAGCCAAAAATAAGGCAATTCTACGATTAATAGTGCTCAATGTGAATGCTCGAGAAAGCTCGTATTAAGATCGGAGTTACCTTGTAAATCCACCGAGAAACTGTACACCGTATTGTATTATACGCTGCGCATCAAAATTCTGGTGCAATAATTGTACCTTTACAATAGAGCTCTCCATCACGGTCAGTGACAGTGGTAGATTCCAGACCCTTGCCACATTTGGCACAGCGGAAGCAGCTCTTGTGCCAAGGCTGGGGAAACAATGCATGGGGGAAAAAAATAGTGTGTGCACGTGGAAGCAGAAGCGATGCACAGGCACGCACTCATTCACACATCATTGCTGATCGAAATGCATAGTCAACTTTTAATTATCCGGGGTTAATGGGGAGACGGGTAGAGCAGATAAGCGAGATTCACAACATAAATATTATACCAAAACAAATATTTATTTTTGTTACCTATGGATGGGGGTGAAGATATAGAATGTGGTGGTATGTGCTATAATTGTTTATTAAAGTATTCGGTTTACCTGCCGACTAGTTTGTGGCCATATGTGCCCTCAGTCGGGAGAGAGGATCCGCAAATTAATTAATCCAGTGTGCGCGTACAAATATAACTTTTTGTTGTTTTTGCAAGTATGGTTAATCTGCCATTCGAACAATCCAGTTATGGATAAATATAGAGTTGACTGTACTGTTCTATGTCTCCGCATATAAGCGACAAAAAGAATCATTCCAAAAATATATTGGCTTTCCGGACCAATATTAAGCTGCGTTTGTTTAGATAAAACCACCTCTCAACCGGTTTCAATGTTCTGGGTCTCATCAGCGGTCAGGCTTGTTAAACAAATGCTTCTGGATTAACATACATCATTGGCAAGACCACTCCATATAAATTTAAGGCACCTTGGGGAACATTTTTATAAATAAATTAAATATGAAAAATGAATAAATAAATTAAGTATGAAAAATTTAATCAGGCAGGGCCCACCTTTCCGGCGCCCACGATTTTCTCCGCGGCGTAGACGGGCTTTGTGCAGCGGGAGCAGGCGTCTGCCGCCCCGCCAAACCGCTGGGCCAGCTTATTCACGGACGCTCCTCCTTGGCGCTTGGCTCTGTTGCTGCTGCTGCTGCCATCAGCCGCCGTGCCACAGCGCGCACAATTAGGCTACACGAGTGGGAGCCTGCGCTATCGCTCTCTCTCTCTCTCCCCTGTATTACCGAGCTCAGGATAATTTGAGATTACTTGCGTTAATTGGATGAACGCCAAACAGCAGCATACCAAAATCGCATTGTGTTGCTTGTGTAAATAATTGGGAAATGTTGGCTTTACTGCTCCGTGTATCAGTGGCTGTTGCATGCACTTTGTTTAAAATAGTGAAGAAAGGGGTTAAACATTTTTTTTAAATTAAATTTGATATAAATGATATAGAAGTTGGCATGAAATTACTAATTCAAGTCAAAATCAGCTCAAGGATTTTTGAACACACACCAACCACCTATTATTCAAATGAATGCTTGTTTGACATGCATTCGATGCCTCAGAAAACAAGCTTAAAAATTCAGGAAGGCTTTCCTGGGTGACGGGCATTTTATTATTTTTAGACATTATTACTCTAAGAGATTCCACTAAATGTAATTGTTGCAGGAATAATTTATTTAAATGTGTGTGTAGGTTAAATCTACACACACATTTATTTTAAGCAATTTCAGAAAGGATGTACAGCTGAGATGTAACCATTTACTGTTTCATCAGGCATCCCATTATAGCTTATTACCATCGTGAAATGAAATGTTCCTTTTAAAATGTACACAAAGCATTGCAAATGCACATTCACTGAATATTTTGCAAAATGTCACTATAGATTTATTATTGTTACATATGTTTATTGTGTCTAAATGGGTCTGCTTTCATCTCCTGGTTTAATAAAGGATACTATATATTTATTGAGCGGTTATAATGTCATAACCACTCAATAAATATGTATTTATAGCGGCATGGGTGCGGTGGGACAGTGGTTAGCGCACTGCTCTACAATTTCAGCAACTCAAATTAGATTCCCGCTCATAACCAATAACAGAGGCCAATATTTGAACCGGTCCTGGGCCTCCCCCAGGTCGACTCAGCCTTAAATTAGTACCTGACGCAGTGTAAACTACCACACTGGGGGAGACAGATGCGTTGGTGTTGCTCATTCAAAACGCGAGCAGCACTTGCCCCAAGTTTGTTAAAAGGAGGATTTTTTTTATTAGTATATCTAGGGGTATGTTTCTGAGCAGGACAGTGAAGGAGTGAGGAGGTGATGGATGCGGGGGGGGGGGGGTTCGTACCTATGGGCCATGACGCCACCGCCATCCATGCTGAGGGCACCAGCGCCCTGGCCAAAGCCGTATCCCTTCGGGCCATACTTACGAGAGTAGCAGGGCTGGCAGTAGATCTCATCACCGTGCACAGTCACCGTTGATGTCTCCAGGGCTTTGTGACACACCACTGCCAGGGCACGCAGGTTCAAGGATTCAGAATAAGAATATGTATTTGCACTGGAAGAATTCGATGAGCTATAAAGCTCTTTTTTCACAGATGTCGAGATTCACATGTTATGAGAGTTACCCTACCCATCACCCCTTGACATCAGTCTGCAGGGCACCCTCTTCCCTAGGTCTGCTGTGTATGTGTGGCCCTCCAGTTTCGTGTGGTTATGGTTTATTGTTGTCGTTTTGCTGCCTTGCCCAAACTTACATGTGGTCTTGACAACCAAAATAACAAGATCAATTTGTCTCGAATTCAGTAAAAAAAACTCAATATTTCAAGAGCCGCAATGATTGTGAATACGAGATGGTGGCGCTTCATAAATAACGTCAAAAAGCGGCCCTTAAAGAGCCGCAGGTTGCTGACCCTTGGGCTTGACAAATGTGCAGGAATTTATTTACTACTGCAATTTGTATTTCCATGCTTTATTGATGTGTATTGAATTATTCACGTTTTAACGAATTACCTAACTTTTCTCTAAATTACTCTTGCATCACGGGACCTCCCTTCTCTAGATTTGAAGCTTTCGTGACTGCAAGGATCCACACTGTTTGGTTCTATTCGGTAAAGTCACGTAGGTAAAAAATAAAACAACAAAAAATCACGACGTTTCGGCCACAACACAAGTGGCCTTCATCAGGTGAAGGGACCAAACTGTCCAGAGGACAGCATTGGAGTGAAGAAAGCCAAGCGCAGGTCGCCTCCTTTAAGCTGTGAGGGGGTAAACAGAAAATGTTGCTGTCACCCCAAACCACATACCAGTAGATGATATCATCTCTCAGGTCGATGTAGCCCTCAAAGGCGTAGGACACATCCAAGCAGACGTTGCGAGAGCTGAAATAGCCACTATTCTAAAGAATGCTAAGAAACCCATTAGCAACATCAGCAAAATGAACGCTCTGAACTCGCGAATTTAAAAAACAGAAATGATATAGTCATCCTCTCAGCCGATAAAGGCAACACTACTGTAATTATGGATAAAAAAAATCATATAACAACAAAATCCAGAACCTGCTCAACGATGGAAGTTACTCAAAAATTAAAAATTATCCTACTAATAGCCTAACGATAAAAAACAAGATCATCACAAGTTCGACCTCCCTACTCGAACCAACTAAATGTCCCTCCCTAAAACCTTCTGCTGCAAGACCCCCTAGATTCTATGGTCTTCCCAAGATTCATAAAGAAGGCACCCCACTACGACCCATCATATCCATGATCAACTCCCCTACCTATAGACTAGCCCGTTTTCTGTCAGATACCTTGCTGCCTTTCACTGGCAAGATCGCCCTCAGCAGTACTTAACTCAGCCCAATTGGTCTCTATGGTCAAGGACTTTGTACTGTCCCCTTACGATATCCTTGTCAGCTTCGCTGTGGTCTCTCTGTTCACCAAGGTCCCAGTACCTGATGCCATTGAAATAATTGAAAATTTAGTCCAACATGGACTAGACCCTGATACACCTGCACTGGTTATGCACTGCCTCACCAATACCTACTTTACTTGGAATGGTACCTTCCACAAACAAAATGAGGGTACCCCCATGGGTTCCCCCTTGTCACCAGTGATAGCCAATATTTTCATGGAGAGATTTGAATCAGACACCATCCAGACTTCCACCCTCAGACCTTCCCTGTGGAAGAGATATGTAGACGACACTTTCGTCATTTGGCCACAATGGCCTCCCAGCTTTGAATCTTTTCCTAGACCACATTGATTCCAGACACCCCGCCATCAAATTCACCATGGAAGTGGAGAAAGATGGCAAGCTGCCATTCTTGGATGTTCTGTTTGAGAGGAGACCTGATGGCTCATTGGGACATTCTGTCTACAGGAAACCCACCCACACAGATTCCTACTTGAAACCTGATTCCCACCACCACCCGACGCAAAATAATTATCTCATCAAAACGTTATACCACAGGGCTCATTGCATTTCGGACCAACACCACCTGACCAGTGAATTAAAACATGTACATCTAGCCCTCAAAAGGAATGGATACTCTGACCGTACCATCCGCCAAGCTGTTTCTCCCTCCATACAGAAACAACCACTTGATACTCCGATCAAAACCATCACACTACCATATATAGCAGGCGTTACTAAAAAAATCTCCAAAATTCTAAACAAACACAAGATCCTGGTCCGGTTCAATACAGTACACAAAATCCGTGACCTGATCCCTTCCGTGAAGGATGCCATTCCTGACTTACAGTACCCCGGGGTTTACAAATTGATCTGCACCTGTGGTGACTGCTATATCGGGGAGACGAAACGACATGTCTCTGACCGAATTCGCGAGCACAAATCAGATTTGAAACACGGCAGAACGAATTCTTCTGCCGTAGCTGATCACTGTTACAATGCTGTGGGTGATCAAGATATAGTTTTCTTAGATACCAAGGTCCTCTGCAAACCCATGGGTTTTTATCAGAGATTTGTCCACGAGGCAATTCAGGTTTACAAACACAGACAATTTCAACCAAGAAGATGGTTTCAAATTAAGCAACCATTGGAAAGATGTTCTCAATCGAACCAAACATTAAACTAATTTTCAATGGTACAGTATATTTATTCAAGTAATGGCATTCCAAACTCTCACGGTGGTGTAATGTCATTTTATGCTAATTCCAAGCTTTCACAGTAGTACATTTTATGCTAATTCCTTTGTCAAGGCGTTTTCTGTTGACCCCCTCACAGCTTAAAGGAGGCGACCTGCGCTTGGCTTTCTTCACTCCAACGCTGTCCTCTGGACAGTTTGGTCCCTTCACCTGATGAAAGCCACTTGTGTTGTGGCTGAAACGTCGTGATTTTTTGTTGTTTTATATTTTTTTACCTACGTGACTTTACCGAATAGAACCAAAGAGTAGGGACCTCCCTTGCCAGTATCAAAATGTAGAGTAGAATGGGGAAGTGGCGTCACGTGTGCTGTCCAGTGCGATGACGTCACTATAGACGTGACGTCATGCGCTCGGGGCAGCAGAATGACATCACGGCTCCTCAAGTATAAAGGGGGGACCCGGTGACGTCAGCGGGGTCGCAGCTGGAGAGGAGGGTCTCAGAAGGGTGGAACGGGGAGCCAGAGGCAAGAGGGTAGGGATAGGAGTGGGCACAGTGCCAGGGCTGGACGTGGCTGTGCTCCTCGGTCGGCCGTGTTGGCTGATCCCACGGCCGGCGCAGAGGAGACAGCCTCAGGACCTAGCCCGGGACCCCTAACACCTGGGAAGTTGTTCACCCCCTGTGTATTGTTAAGATCTGTAATGAACCTAAGGCGAAAGCCCTTAACTTACCTCAGCTTCCGAGTGAGTCGTCGGGAACTTCTCAACAAAAGTATAAGAATAGGTTTTACCCTTTCTGGCGATAAAACAGGTGTTAAGATGTTAAAACACAAAAATTAAACCTTTTTGCAAGAAATCATGTCTGCATTAACCACAGATACTTGTGGTGAACATGCAAACCAAAAAACATGCTCGAGTAGTTTATGAATTGTCTTTGAAACTCATCGGTCCACACCAGAAACAGCTTTCTTGAGAGCCAAACCTCAAAAAGTGTTTGCCAGAAAGGGCAAAACCTATTCTTATATTACTCTTGCAGCCTTTATTGTATTTTTGTTGACGTGACTTGCTGACCTGCCCCTACTGAGCATCTGCAAAACAGAGCTTTATAGCTTTAAAATTTTGACTTAAAACTTTCGTGACTGCAGGAATTCATATTCTTGGTTCTTTCGGTAAAGTCACAGAGGCAGAAAAAAATAATAATAAAATAATAATTAATAAATTACAACATAATAAAAGCAAAAAACCCACGACGTTTCGATCGCAACACAAGCGGTCTTCATCGTGATGCTGCCAGCATGTGGAATGCAGATTGATGCTGTTAAGGGAGGCTGTAGCCATGCACTAATAATCAATAAATGTTTACATTTATATGATGGGCGTGTCAGAGTGTCTTCTCGCGTGCCACCGAGGGCTTAATTTCTCACTCGATATTTTCCAGAACCCTGCTTAGACTGGCTTGGAGTAAGCATTATCGGCGTAAGGGACTACCACGAGAGTACGAGCTATGCCTATATTTATTGTACCCTCAGTTTAACACGTAGGCTTTCGCGACCAATATTATTCATAATAAAGATTTTTGGGTTAGATCGCGTTATTTCTAAATGTGTCGTAACCCTCCACCACCCGATACGGCCAATCAGCAAAAAAAGTGTCACGTTGACAAAAGACAGTTCAGTACTTTAGCCCACCGGTGTGTTGAAGAGTGAATCCACAACATTTACAGTTTGAGTACGACGTTTCGCTGGTAATTACATCCAGCATCATCGGGCAATTCGCCAGAATGGTAAAGCCCTCTCCACTTGCTCCCGGTCTTAAATAGAGCAGCAGGGTGACGTCATCATTTAACTCATTTCAGGTGCAGTGATTTGAGGCGGAGGGGGTGGGGGATTGTAATTATATAATCGATTGGTAATCAGTCAATGGTTATGATTAGTAATGAGTTGTAGATTAGTAATTAGTTGTAATGTGTTATTATGAATTTATTGTACCCTATATTACAATACACCTATGACCAGAATCATAGGATTATAGGGTACGTCGAGGAGGAATAATGCCAAAATAATTCCCGGACCAGAGTTCCGGACTGCTCCAGCTGATATTGGGCAGTGGTGCCGCTAATTTTCACCGTGGGTGGCCCAGGCGTTGTCACTCACAGCACTGGAAGCAGGGGCGGTGGTAGCTACGTCCATCGCACTGCACCTCCTCCGCGTGGAACACCACCTTGCCACACGTGCCGCAGTGAGCGCCTCCTCCCCATTGCGACATCGTGCCCAGCAGGAATCTGCCCACATGCAGGTCCAGGGTCAGTCAGTCCACAAGATGGGGGAGGGTGGCACGAACGTTGGGCGGACACAAGGGGTGGATGTGGGATGCACGGAGCACAGACAGAGTGGGCAACAGACGGCGAGGGAGATAGTTATTATTCTCAGGCACAGCTTTATCGGCTTTAAAACTTCCAGAAAATCTTTTGGAAGTGCTGGACCCATTTTCTTGCTTAGAACCTACTGGAACAATTACAATAGCTAGTGTCAGATTATTAGTATGTATGCATGTTTAACTTCTTTGGCACCGTACGTAGCCAACCGTGCTCATCGGAGGTGCTGCTATTTGATTTTACCTCTGAAGACGCGACTTACAAACGATAAGGGAAGTTATTCATGGCCATGTGAAAATATTTGCTAGAATACGAATGCGTAGGTGATCACAGTTGCGCTATGTAGCTCTCCGATGTGTTTTCTGGTTGGACTGTGTGCTCGGCATGCTGTCCTATTCTGGAACTGGACAGTTTTTTTCACGTCAGACATCATGCAGAACAACATCAGAATCAGAATCAGAAAGGGTTTTATTCGCCATGTAAGTTCACACCGACACGGAATTTACTTTGGCAGGATGGTGCATACATTCAACATATAGGAATCTAAAATCTTAAATAAGTTTTAAACAAGTCTTACTATAATAAGGGTTAAAAGTCTAACACTAAGGGGCTGAAGTATATAAAATTAAATAAATATCGAATATAAAATAGCTTTAAGATATAATTTAAAAATACAAATAGGGAAACATAGTTAATATCAGCAACGTGTCGTTATGTAGATCAAATGTTAAAAACAGTGTTAGCCCTTGGCCTTGTTTAACAGGCCAGCAGCAGATGGGAAGAAACTGTTTTTATGGCGTGAGGTTTTGGTCCTGATGGACCGAAGCCTTCTGCCGGAGGGGAGTAGCTGAAACAGAGAGTGTCCAGGGTGGGAGAAATCGGCCATAATCTTCCTCGCTCGCCTCATAGACCTTGTCGTGTGCAGGTCCTCGAGGGTCGGTAGATTGCAGGCAATTACCTTCTCAGCAGTGTGGATGATACGCTGCAGTCTGCTCTTGTCCTTGGCAGTGGCAGCAGCGTACCAGACGGTTATGGAGGAGGTGAGGATGGATTCAATGATCGCTGTATAGAATTGCACCATCATTGTCTTTGGCAGGTTGAATTTCTTCAGCTGCCGTAGAAAGTACATCCTCTGTTGAGCTTTCTTGGTGAGGGAGCTGATGTTCAATTCCCACTTGAGGTCCCGGGAGAGAATAGTGCCCAGGAAGCGGAAGGACTCTACAATTTTTACTGGGGAGTCTAACAGGGTGATGGGGGTGAGTGGTGCTGTATTCTTCCTGAAGTCCACAACCATCTCAACTGTCTTTAGAGCATTTAGCTCTAAGTTGTTCTGGCTACACCAGGTCACCAGATTGTCAGCTTCCCACCTATAGTCAGACTCATCCCCACCAGAGATCAGCCCAATGAGGGTGGTGTCATCCGCAAACTTCAATAGTTTGACGGACAGATGATTGGAGGTGCAGCTGTTGGTATACAGGGAGAAGAGCAGAGGGGAAAGGACGCAGCCCTGAGGAGTTCCGGTGCTGATGGACCTGGAGCCAGAGACTTGTGTTCCCAGCTTAACGCACTGCTTCCTGTCAGACAGGAAGTCTGTGATCCATTTACAGGTGGTGTATGGCACGTTCAGCTGGAAGAGCTTGTCCTGAAGCAGGGCAGGGATGATGGTGTTGAAGGCAGAGCTGAAATCCACAAACAGGATCCTGGCGTAGGATGCTGGGGCGTCCAGATGCTGTAGGGTGAAGTGGAGGGCCATGTTAACTGCATCGTCCACAGACCTGTTGGCTCTGTAGGCAAACTGAAGGGGGTCCAGGAGAGGGTCTGTGATGGCTTTGAGGTGTGCCAGGACCAGGCGCTCAAAAGACTTCATTACCACAGATGTAAGGGCGACCGGTCTGTAATCATTTAGTCCTGTTGGCCTTAGCTTTTTGGGCACAGGGATGATGGTGGAGGACTTGAGACAGGCTGGTACATGGCATGTCTCCAGGGAGGTGTTAAAGATGTTGGTGAACACCGGAGACAGCTGGTCAGCGCAGTGCCTGAGGGTGGCTGGAGAGACAGAGTCCGGCCCGGCTGCTTTGCGTGGATTCTGCCTCTTGAAAAGTCTATTAACTTCTTCCTCCTGAAAGGAGATAGTCGTCTCTGTAGTATTGGTGGGGGATGGGGCCTCTTGGGTTGGAAGGGGTGGTTCAGGACAGTCCAATTGTCTTTCAAATCTACAGTAGAACTCGTTCAGGTCGTTGGCTAGGCGGGAGTCGTTAGTGGTGTGGGGGGCTCTGGGTTTGTAGTTGGTGATCTGCCTGAGCCCTCTCCAGACAGAAGCAGCGTCGTTTGTAGAGAACTGGTGTTTTAGTCTCTCTGAGTACAGTCGTTTAGCCTCTCTCACCGCTTTGCTAAACCTGTTCTTCGACTCCTTGAATCTGTCTCTATCTCCACTCCTAAACGCTTCCTCCTTCTCCAACCTCAACCTTCTGAGCTTTGCTGAGAACCAGGGCTTATTGTTGTTAAAGTTCACCCTGGTACGTGTTGGGATACAGCAGTCCTCACAGAAGCTGATGTAGGACGTCACAGCCTCTGTGAGTTCATCCAGACTATTGGTAGCAGTCGTGAACATATCCCAGTCAGTGCGATGCAACCCAAAAATACGTTGGAGAGTTACACGCCACAACTGTGAAAACCTAGAGTTCAAGCGTATCTTTCTCAAGGTCATGACTATCTTCCCTGATGGTACTCTTTGGTTCTATTGGGTAAAGTCACGTAGGTGAAAATAAAATAACAAAAAATCACGACGTTTCGGCCACAACACAAGCGGCCTTCATCAGGTGAAGGGACGAGACTGTCTGGAGGACAGCGCTGGAGTGTCTTTACCCAATAGAACCAAAGAGTATGGATCCTAGCAGTCACGAAAGCTTTAAATCTAGAATTCCCCGATGGTGTTTATGAGTCACATTTTGCCAAATAACACCAAATAATGATGAGCGACATTCACCAAATAATTCTCACTGCCTCTGCCCTATAGGAATGCTTAACATGGCTTCCAAGGAACTTGATGACATTTAAAAAATATCAATATGCTTACTGTATTACATTTTGTTTAACATATGTGCTTTTAAGTTTAACATGAATTTGGGCCACAAAAATAATGTTTGCATTTCAATCTATTCATTCTAAACTCAAAGATCTATAAAAATGTGTTGTCAAACTGCCCAATTAATTACCACTGCATCATTTTAATTATTCAACAGCATCATAACACACCCGAGGTTTCTCGCGGACAGATTAAACGGATCTGCTCATTGTGGCACCAACGCAAAAATTAAACGATAAGCAATAAAAAACCCCGAGTCTTCTTTACAATATATAGTATCTGTTTTTCCATTACAATGAAATACAGCTCTCTTTATAACTGTCAAATTTACATATAAATTGATCTCTGGTAGTAATAAAAAAAGCGAGTGCACAAGCCACGTATTACCGAACTGTACCAAGGGAATAGTTTTCATATTTTTTGGCGGCGTCATAAAATTACTTTTGTAGAAGAGAGCATGTTTGAGATTACTGCAACCATTCCTGAACAACACACATTTGATCAGCATAACGATTTCCATCTCATACTATGTTCAACTGATACATCTATAGGGATTTTTTTTACTTTCATTTCAATTGTAACATTTGCAAAAAAAATAAACGAGAATATTAGAAGAATTGAGACTTTTTCCTGGTCTCTAATTAATTGGTGAATTTAAAAGCATTTAGAATTTTGTACAATTACAAGTGGTTATTCTTGGTGATGTAATACACACATAGCTAGCTGATAAATACAAACTGTGCAATACCCAGTTTAGAATAACATCTTGATTTTAGACCCAATTTAAAATAAATGTATTTTATATTGGGTCTAACTGAAGCCCACATCCCAGTCTCATCGAGTAATTTTCCTTATTGTGCCAAGACAATTAATGAAGGCAGCTGCTAACACAAAGTGTGTGAACTCAACCACTCGCCATGACTCAAAGGCATTAATATACTCTCGTAGTGCATCGGGGTACATAAGACACCTTAAGCACATCCAGATGGAAAAATTTTATTGTTTTGCCTGAGCCCATTAAGACACCAAATCTCTGATTGTGTAAAAAGGAGACCTGGGTGATTAAAGCAAACCAGTGCAAAGTCGGTACATAAAAATGAATTACAAGATTTACAAAACACTAAAAATGTCAAATTGTCATACAGTGAACCCATAAATTGGATGTTTTGTTCAATACGAACATTGCACAAAGGGAATACGAACACTTAATCAATAAAACAGACGAGGTTGAAGCATCCATCAAAAGCATTTACATTCAAATTGTCCAAGCACTTGTTTCCCCTTTAAATTGGACTTCCGTAAATGGTGCACAACCAATGCAAACCAGCCATTGGTTTTGGACAGTGTTTAGTATATAATAAGTATATATTATTATTGGCAGCAGCTGTTTAGAGCCTTGTAGTGCCAGGATATTTCTAATGGGTTTTGGGTGTGAGGATGTGATTCAAAATAATTTACATTCCCTTTGTAAATCCACAATGCTGAACTACGGTCTCACCACACCGTGCCTGTCATGGGTTGTTGTTAGCCCAAAACTTCACCACGCTGGTCCATGCAGGTTGCTGAAGGGTTATCCCAGTACAGGTTAAGATAGCACCACTGATGTTAGCCATGGCTATGAATCGAACTCTTCTCTATTTCCCATTCTATTCTTCTTCCTTCCCCTCGCCCCTCCACTCCTTCCCGTCCCTCCCGTACCCTTTTGTGATCCCCAAGTACCCTCTATCGCCATCACTCATATCCCTGCCATAGACCATTCTGTTCTGTCACCGTTGTGTAAGCTATGTCAAGCGTCTCCAGTGAAAGCACTCTATAAATATAAAATGAGATTAGATTTTTGGGATAGGTCATGTATATACGTCATTGTTTCTAACTATAACCCCCCACCACCCGACAGAGCCAATTAAATCAAGTTTTATCACGTGGGCAAACGTGCCAATTTATTTTTTTCAGCAAACCGGAATGTTGAAAAGCAAGCAATATATTTTTTTTATTTTGTCCGTTTCGCTGGAAATTGCATCCAGCATCATCAGGAGTGAACAAAGCTCAGCCCCCCCGTGAGAGCTGAACATTTATAACGGTGTGCATTGAGCCAAGAGAGCCTCTTCTGCATCATACACCATTGCAATGTGTTGTTTTCTAGCTCACTGCGCGCCATGAACACGGCAACCTGAGTTTGATTCCCAGCCACGGCGAGCATCAGTAGCGAGTGACATCTCCACCGGTCCTGCATGCTTGACCCCACTTCACCAACCTGAACTGACCAGCATGGTGAAGTATAGTCAAACAACCCTCCTGACCGACACTGTGTGGGGAAACCTTCATCCAGCAATGTGTAGGAACAAAGGAAGTCTGCATAAATTAAACATCGCATTGTTTCTTAAGTGAGATGTGCCAGTATGCACTCAGTGCATTAAAAAAAATCATCTGGCATGTTATTAAAATTGGCACCAATTTTGTATATCTTACTGAGGGCGGTATCATCAAAATGTTGCATCACGCTTAATGTACTTTGCGAAATATGTACATTTTGCGGGAATAGAAAGTGTATGTTTAGGCCATTTAGGTTTAATATTCCTGCATTTTGACAGAGACAATGAAATTACAAGAAAACCATCAAGAGTGCTACGAATTAAAATCAGAACCTTGAAATACAACACAAAAACTTGGAGTTAACACGACACAACCTGGAGAAATGTGATCAAACACCGAAGATTCTGTTGATATCTGGCATAAAAATGAAGTACAACCTTTGGTCGAGACAATTCTATCAAACACAGAATACACCAAGAAGAACATCGTAGTAACGAGTTACATATGAAACAAATTCCTGGATGAACCTCCCTTAAAATTCACGATGTGCGTACATCACAAAAATCACGGCATATGCACATACGGTATTGCAACACACAAATGCATTGTACGCGAGGTGGAGCGGTGGCGCATTGGTTAGCGCACTGCGCGATGAGAACCCAGACTCGAGCTCGATTCGCGTCCACAGCTAACAGAAGAAGCGAGTGATATCTGACCTGGTTCTGGGCCCGCACTGACAAGCGTGGTGAAGTATGGTCAAACAACCCGCAGGACGGACAGGGTTTGTGGACGGCTGCCATCCAGCAGTGGATTGACACAGGGACGAAACGTCCATCATATGCACGTATAATATCATTAAACATGATACAAATGACAATTGTATAATAAATGCACCATTCACGCTTAAATTGATTCACATAACGGTCACGGTGAACGTCATACTACATAATTTGGATGCATGACGTGAAATACATTACGTACATATAGTACTATTCAGCTATACCTCGTTATATTTGCAGCGCATTAATACTATCGGAGGATATTATAGATTGTGGTGCCATTACTCTTCAGCAAAAACTATACTTCAACAGACGAACCGTTTTTTTTTTTAAATGGCGTTATTAAACACATGCAACACCGAATTAAACCACAATGGTAGTTGTTGTGAACGTGTTATTCAAGAGTGATTCTAAGGCGAGACCAATGAATGTACTCACGTGCAGTCAGCTAAAGTAGGCGAAGCAGCACAGCAGACTTAAGGGGCTGGACAGCGGCGCGTTCTGTCCTCGTTGTGCGAAGATCGCAGTGAATTAGCAGGAGCAACATAACCGAGAGGGGCCATAAATTAAAACCGAATCTGCCCGAGCGTCGTTTGCGAGGCTAATATATCGCAGCTGACGTGCCATCAGGAAGCCCTGCCTCTAACGCATAAGCAGGATCAGGTGCATGCTGCTTGATGCTGTTGTTATGCACGAGAGGTGAATGGGTTGTTCCCGTTTATTAATGGCTTGCAATCTGACCGAAACTTACAAACTAATCAGGTAAGGCATATAGCTCTTTTTTCAAAGTGACCTGGCCGCAAATGATAGCTCAACGAAGTGGCTTATTGCGTGGAAATGTATAGCAGCCAAATACTATTAAGCGTGCTTCTAAATGTGGAGGGGAAAAAGCGGAGGACCAGAGAAAAATCAACTACCACGGGGAGCACATGCAAAAAAAACAAATGTGCAGCAAGTGTCAGGGTCGGGCTCAAACCCACTACCTCCTGCATACCAGGCGAGGGAGCGTGGTATAACGTTGAAAGTATGTTTAAGATTAGTATATGCCAAACAAACTGTAGCACACCTGCACTAGTGAAAGTCTGAAAAAATGTATAATGTAAAAGACACATTAAGCCAACCCCATCCTTCACCAGCAGTGGCTCTGCAGTTTCAGCTTTTCATCCAAAAATAAACCAAACCGCCACTACGTTCTTCACATTTATTAAAATATAATTCCACTGGGGTTCAGGGGTAGCTTGGGATGTTATACACATGATGGACACTAATGTTTGATGTACAGTACTGGATTTTTAAATCCTTACATATCCAAAAGCACCACTGCATTAGGCCTATCCAAGTATATTATAACTCATTATTTCACATTAAAATTTGAACTGTACATAAAGTATCATTACTTGGAAAAAAATCTAAAATTTCGTTTGAATAACTTAATAAAACTGACATTACTTAAAAGTAACCTATTACCACCATTTACTCATTCCCACTAAAAACAGGGCACTAAAGTTGATTCATCACAGCCAAGATGTTTGGCATTTGCTTTTCAAGTAATTACAGTATATGGCTCTGTACAAGTGTATCTAAATGAGTTCTAATGTACAGCAAACAATTTAGTGCATTGCATAGATCAAGTACAGTATCCTGTTTTTTAAAACAAGCTTCACAAGATTAAATATGTAATCAATGTGAATAAAGATTAAAGAAATGGGTATAAAATTAATAAACATGCAAGTGTATGCTGCAAGAAATAAACATTTTTACACGAAAAGCTAAATTCTTACAATTGCTTTGTACACAATATAAACATCGTAATTCGATTTTTCAAATGGTCCAAAGGGTATATAAAAATTTACTACAGCAGAGCCAACGTTTATAAGCAGACACCAAATCCCACAACACAGGCAACGACAACACAAGCAAACTCATATGCAACAATAAGAAGATTCAACGGTTGAAGTTAATCTCAGTTTACAATTTTTGGAAGTGTTGTTTTTGCATTGTTGAAGATTCTAAGGTTAACAGTTATTTTGATTAGCAAACACATTAATGCTGACCTTTTTACATACATTACATCAGAGCTTGATTAGTGCTGAGTAAACATTTCTGCAGCTGTGATTCTTAGTTTGGTTTAAAAATGTATAGTGGTCCTTAGTCTGGGGTTCAATTGTAATGAATAATGCAAAATCTGCCAGAAATTGCAATGTGTAATCAAAAATAATACCTCTTTCCTCATATATGCATTAATTGTCCATTAGCCATGAAATGCAATATACTCAAAGCATAACTATTTTGTATTGTATGTATTTATATTAGTTCGTGACACAATCAAAGTTACCACCAAAAATCGCAACATTACCCCACACCAATTTTACCTTCCAACAAGAAATGACAAACAATGAAGATTCTCGTATTATACGCCTTCCTACACGTATATAATAACCTTAGCACCAACGTATAGCTGCCCTGACTGGCTATCGTCCCCCCATCAACTGTCATCTAGGTTAAGACGTCGCTGAGGGATGAGCGAGGGCTCCCCACGGGAGGAGGACAACAGGGAGCCACCCCCCGGTCCTGTTCGCACTGGGACAGCAGGTGCGAGGCCCAGACGCAGCTCCCCGGGGGTCCGGAACAGGTGATCTACCAACATATTCGGGATGTGGGTGCTCTTTGGCGTGCCGGCCTGGGGCTGTAACAACAACAACAAAAAAGTTTTCAGAGGAATCAAAAACACAAAAAAGTTAAGGTGACCCGACAGACGATGGGGCTTAGGACACTGCTGATTAATCAAAATATAAGATACATATTTAATCCATTCGACAAATCATATGTATTTAAATAGATTGGATGTAGTTTGAGCAAAATACAGCCTGTTTGTCAGTCCACTGCTAAATGAAGCCACTCTCCAAGCAGTGTCAGTTATTGGGGTTGTTTCACCATATTTCACCACATTGGTCAGTTGGGGGATTGTGAAGGTGGAGTTGGGGGCCTAGGACTCGATCACCCAATCACTTGACACTGTTAGTAGTCATGGCCGGGAACTGAACTCGGGTCACTGGTTTCACAGAGCAGTGAACCTACTGCTGTTTCTAAATTGCATTTCTTAATTAAAACCTTCAAGTATACACAAGAAACCATCAAATAATAAATTAAGGATTTGAGAATTGTCTAAGCAGGCTTACCGAGTGCATGATAATGGTAAAGGGCTGGCCTTGGTGTGCCTGCAGCGCTGGTGACAGCGGCTTGAGCGTCTCCTCATAATTGGACTGAGGTGACAATGGTGGCTTGATGAGTGTCAAGGGAGAACACGCAGACGGGGACAGCTGTATGCCTTGCTGCATCCGTATCCCAGCGAGTGTTGGCGAGCAGAATGCCAGCATAGGATGAGAACCTGTGCAATTATTAAACAAAGAAATGACACGCATTCAAATGTAAGTTAATTATTTATAAACATTGGCAGATTACGTAGCCTGAAATGTGTAAAAGAACCCCATTATAATGTTCAACTAATCACAATGTTTTGAGGGTTCAAGTTTATATTTTAACCAGGTGAGAACGAGACAGGAAATTCAAAATTTTCAAGTGACCTGGGGGGTCACCAAAATGAGAAAATCTAAACAAATTAAATAAAGTACAGAAATGAAGCAAATACAAAGGGCAGCAAAAAAACGCATCACGAGAGAAATTAAAAAAAATATTACAAACATAAATCAATGTTGAATCATAAATTCCCTGCAGCGTAAGTTAACTTGGGCAGAATGTTTAGAGTGATTAATAGTATATTTACAAATAAAGTTATGGACACGTTAAACAGCTATAGTATAGGGTGACTGCTGTACTAATACATAAGCAAGGATACATGTAAAAAGCATGTGCTTTGTACATTGCCGAATTGAGATCCTAAGATACAGATGTATCAGCAAGTGAAAGCCAACAATGATTTATACATTTTTGATCTGCAGCAAGAGTTGTAAGAAATTCCACATCATGGTCAAGTACCTGCAGGCGGAGAAATGTAATAGTACTGGTTGGGTATGGCCTTAAGCCCATTAGCTTTGCCCTGGCCAGATTCCTGAGGGCTGGTCACCGAGGTGAAGGGTATGGAGTTAATGTATCCCACAGGCTGGAAACCCTGGACACACAACAGAACAATACTGTTAACACGAGTATTTGCTCGCATTTTGACAATTTGAGCCACCAAAATGTCATGCAAATATTTTACATGAACAGTATTTACCAAGCACATGTTTTTCCTTTTCCATGTGCTGTAAATCACGTATAATTCTAACCTAAATTATTCAACTGGACATGCAGTGATTAGGGAGAGGGAGCCATTTCATCTACAATACAAACCTAATTTGTTTTAAGCAAACACACATCGGACATGGTGGCACATAACTAATTCAGCACTTTGGAAGCGAGGGTTGCATTTTACAAATTTGCTAAACTTCCAACCCCGCCTAACTGGGAGTTATCCAGAAGATGGCAGTATACTAAGTGGATTTAACTCTTCTTTTTGGAGATTTCAGTAGATTCTCACAGCACTCGTGTCCTTCCAAAAGCCAAACCCTCAGGTCAAACATCTCAATATGGGACCATCCTAAAAAAGTCTCAAGACTTATTCCGGACCATCATGGATAAAAAAAAATCACATTATTATTATTACATGATCACAAATCATTTTTTAAGGTGTAAAAACAAGTGTGAAAACGGTACATTTAAACATCGTTCATCCCGGGTTTTTCCCATCGCGGATTTGACTATTCACGTAATTGTATTGAGGTATAGTTTGCCAATCTCACCCCTGTGGCTCAACCATTTGCAGTTGACCACGAGATTCCTGTATGCATCGTAAAGAAGAACAGTATTGTACTCTAATTGCTGTCGCAGAATGCACACGCCACCATTATAGTAGATCAAAGTATTTACAGTGAGGGAAAAAGTATTTGATCCCCTGCTGATTTTGTACGTTTGCCCACTGACAAAGAAATGATGAGTCTATCATTTTAATGGTAGGTTTATTTGAACAGTGAGAGACAGAATAACAAAAAATCCAGAAAAACTTATGTCAAATATGTTATAAATTGATTTGCATTTTAATGAGGGAAATAAGTATTTGACCCCCTCTCAATCAGAAAAAATTCTGGTTCCCAGGTGTCTTTTATACAGGTAACGAGCTGAGATTAGGAGCACACTCTTAAAGGGAGTGCTCCTAATCTCAGCTTGTTACTTGTATAAAAGACACCTGTCCACAGAAGCAATCAATCAATCAGATTCCAAACTCTCTACCATGGCCAAGGATGTCAGGGACAAGATTGTAGACCTACACAAGGCTGGAATGGGCTACAAGACCATTGCCCAGCAGCTTGGTGAGAAGGTGACAACAGTTGGTGCGATTATTCGCAAATGGAAGAAACACAAAAGAACTGTCAATCTCCCTCAGCCTGGGGCTCCATGCAAGATCTCACCTCGTGGAGTTACAATGATCATGAGAACGGTGAGGAATCACCCCAGAACTACACGGGAGGATCTTGTCAATGATCTCAAGGCAGCTGGGACCATAGTCACCAAGAAAACAATTGGTAACACACTACGCCATGAAGGACTGAAATCCTGCAGCGCCCGCAAGGTCCCCCTGCTCAAGAAAGCACATATAATGCCCGTCTGAAGTTTGCCAATGAACATCTGAATGATTCAGAGGACAACTGGGTGAAAGTGTTGTGGTCAGATGAGACCAAAATGGAGCTCTTTGGCATCAACTCAACTCGCTGTGTTTGGAGGAATGCTGCCTATGACCCCAAGAACACCATCCCCACTGTCAAACATGGAGGTGGAAACATGCTTTGAGGGTGTTTTTCTGCTCAGGGGACAGGACAACGCCACCGCATCAAAAGGACGATGGACGGGGCCATGTACCGTCAAATCATGGGTGAGAACCTCCTTCCCTCAGCCAGGGCATTGAAAATGGGTCGTGGATGGGTATTCCAGCATGACAATGACCCAAAACACACAGCCAAGGCAACAAAGGAGTGGCTCAAGAAGAAGCATATTAAGGTCCTGGAGTGGCCTAGCCAGTCTCCAGACCTTAATCCCATAGAAAATCTGTGGAGGGAGCTGAAGGTTCGAGTTGCCAAACGTCAGCCTCGAAACCTTAATGACTTGGAGAAGATCTGCAAAGAGGAGTGGGACAAAATCCCTCTTGAGATGTGTGCAAACCTGGTGGCCAACTACAAGAAACGTCTGACTTCTGTGATTGCCAACAAGGGTTTTGCCACCAAGTACTAAGTCATGTTTTGCAGAGGGGTCAAATACTTATTTCCCGCATTAAAATGCAAATCAATTTATAATATTTTTGACATGCGTTTTTCTGGATTTTGTTGTTGTTATTATCTCTCACTGTTCAAAGAAACCTACCATTAAAATTATAGACTGATCATTTCTTTGTCAGTAGGCAAACGTACAAAATCAGCAGGGGATCAAATACTTTTTTCCCTCACTGTATAGTTTGTTTAAATTGCATATTTACTGTTTTTTTTTCATTCTATACATTTACAGTACAGGTAATATTTAACGCTGTAGAAAATATTAATATTTTACGTACAAAAATACTTCCCGTTTTCATGTTTGGGTTAATGTAGTGTAACCAAATGAGGGGGTGTCGTATTACGATCTGCGAACCAAACTATTTTTACCATATGCCTTTAAGTTTGCAGATCGCGGATTTGCAGACTGCAGCTATTTTCAAGAACAGAACCCCCACAGATGGGCAAGTCTTTGGTGTGCCATCAATGTAGTAGCGCATTAAGGAACCTCACATTTATGAAGACCATGTTGTTTTCACATGCAGCCTGTATTTTTGCTGTACTTGGTGCTTGTGGATTAAGGGATGGCTGCTTGACTTTTTGTTGGGAAGTAACCTTAGCCTCCAAACCACATGCCGACTTCTCATGATATTCACATGGAGGAGAGGAGCCATTTTGCTCGGCCACACGTCCAATTACGGAGTTTGTACTGCTCACCACCTGCAAAAGAAAAAAGGCAATTCTTAGAAGTTTTATTCTGAAATAACACAATTAATAATTTACCTGTGAAACTGTGAAATAAAAGCATTGGAATTAAAATACATTTGATTTTAATTGAAATTTTCACTTTAAACTTATCAGTCCGTGCGAGTTGTACGCAAACTACAAGATACAAAGTCATAGCTATAAAATACGCGTATGTGAAGGAACACATACTGTATTGCGAAGACAAAGAAAACAAAGTATTCTTGTCCATAAAAAGAAAAAAAAAATGGAAATGTGTGCACACACCTGGGCTTGAGATACAGATGCAGTGTGCTGCACTTTCCCTGTCGGTGCCTGGGCCTCTGACAGCGGCTTTGCGTGCTGCCGCAAGTTCTGGCTTGCCACTCCCTCGCTGGGCCTGCACGCGTCAGCACCACCAGACAAGCGTTTACGCTTGTGCAATTATGGGAAAATGCGCAGCTTAATGCTGTAAGGAATTTAGGAATCTGAAGGCGAAGTTTGAGCGCTGCTAATAAGCCAGTGCTGGAATTTACTGCTTCTTTGCCACACAACTGGAAAATGTTTTTGGTTTGTTGTCGATATCTATTAAATAAATAAGAATTCAAACTAGTCAGTACATCTATACCTTACTAATGTTTTTCAATGTGCCACTTGATAAAATGCTCATTATACTTACTGTGCTTCCAGGTGTAACTTGCAAATAGTTGCCAGCTGGTCCATTCTGCTTAGATCGTTTAGCCCAAGACAGCAGGCATCTAACAAGCACATGAAGTAAACACATTAAATACAATACGGAGCAACAACCATGTCAATAGTACTTTATAACCATGACATCCGATCGAAGTTGAGTTTGAACCGTTCTTTTTATGCACGCGTGAACAAACATAACTATTGTCTTCATTTTGCAACACCTGCCCAAAATCCAGTTCATGGGGTCTACGTACCACCACAGCAGGATTACATGTGGTGGTACACTTGTAATTTAATCCTTTGGAGGAAAGGGTTGGTGGATCACATAATCTGCGACATTCACAAACCCTCTGGGCTGCGATGTGGCCAGATGGCAATACAGCAATTGGATTGAATCCATCTGTGTGGGTTTTCTCCAGGTATCCTGGGGTTTTCCCATATGCCAAATATTCATAATTTAAATTAGCACCCCATAGCAGAACCCTCATGAAAAAAAGTTGTAAGGCTCATTGAGGACTTCCTTATTATAAAAAAATAATTATTCACATCTTAGCCTCTTATCTGTTGGCTCTCACTCACCAGAATGACGTTTGATGGGGCTGCATGGTGCCGAGCTGATCTTCCTGTGTTCAGCCTCGATGCCGCTACTGCTGGTTTGAAAAGAGGAGTGGCGCACAAACCCATCACGTGGCACACGACGGGCCACCTTGGGGCTGGACACCTTCACACTCAACACCTCCCCTGCTACTGCTTCACGCACAGTCGCAGTCACAAGTTGTACTGGCACGGCATTGACGACAGCAAATTCTGATGAAAGAGGACAAATATGCAATTGAGAATTTTTTTTAAGTTAAACACCTCCGACAATATGCAAGTGACAGATTAATGGCATGCATACAAACAAGCTGTGACTGTTATAAATTCAAATATCCTCCATTGTTCTGAAGTTCCTTGCACTGTCATCTTTCACACGGATCAGTAAGAGTCAGTGCCAACTGGGTTATGGGTACTCACCGTTGACCTCGGGCAGGTTTTCAGGGCCTACCCACTGGAAGGCAGGCTTGCGCCCTCGATCCTCCATCACCTGCACCTTCTTGATGAGGCTCAGACTCGTCAGCACGTTCGCGATGTCGTATAGCCGTCGGATTTTAGCTGAACATAAAATATTCAAAACACAATTTAAGTACCTGCTGCTAACACACTTAATTACGAGAAACATCACTTGACAAATATTACAATTTGAACTAGATGTGGTTTGTCTGCAAAATGTTTATCTCAAACGAGCACTTGATATTCATGGTTAAATCAAATTGTTCATTCATGTGGAACCTGGTAACTACAAACCCACATTACCTCCTTAGTGGAGGTTACATTGCTACACAAGATAAAAAAAATACATAAAATAAATAGAAAATAAATAATTTTTAAAATAAAAATATAGACTTACTCTTAAGCTTGCAGTTGTCTCGAACATCAAACTGGCTTCCTCCCTGCAAAACCTTGGCAGCCATTTCCAGTGATACCACATTGTTCCTCACCACCAGGAAAAGCATCACAAACTTCTTGCTCATTTCTTTCAGAGACTTGTCCTTCCGACCACCACCTAACAGCACAAAGTGCAGTTTCCAAAGTAATGAAATCAATTAGGTTCTTGTTTATTGATTTAAAAAAGTGTCAAGTTAAGTGTTCTAAGAGTCACCAATGCTGACCCTTAAGAAATGCATAATCAAAAAGGTGCTGTGAAAAAAACCCAACAAATATTCAACCACATGCAACTAAGAAATATTAAAACATGGTTGCTATTATTGTATCCCTTATTCCAACAGGAGATGAAATCAACCCATTGAGACACATGAAACATGCCTCTTGTGCAAGGATGACCTTGGTGAATTAAACATTTAAATTTAATCACAGTACAATGTGAAATTAAATGTTGGCATATCCATAAAAAAACATGCTGTAAGTTTGTTGTAACATGGGATGTGACTAAAAACAGCAAAACATGCTCCGTACTCGGCTTGGGACGCTTATCCTGCTGCAGCGAGCTGAACTCAGCCTTGGGTGGCCGTTTGAGCTCCATCTGACTGTGCGTGTTGGAGTCATCGTGCGTACAGGTTTCCGCGTCACCGTCTTGGAAGCGATTGGCCAGAGCGGCGAAGCCCTGCTGCTGGGCAGCTTGGCGCAGCAAGGCGAGTGTGCTTGGCAGTTTGTGCCGCCCATTCCACGAGTAGCGGTTTTTGGCGGCACGACTAACTAGATCCAAGCTCTCCAGTACATTCACAATATCGTATATCCGCCGTCGCTCGACACCTGTCAAACATTGAGGTTTATAAAATAAAAGTTAATAACAGTTGTCAACAAAACTTCTACTGGCATTCCTTAAATATTACGCTTATTAGCAGCGTGTACATTAAAATGTTACCTACATTCATGTACATTTTTTTAAGGAAAAGAATATGAATTAAAACACAAATCAGGGTATTGAAATGTTATCATTGCAATAATACAAAATGTTTATTTTTACATACATTTAGAAAAAAATCATGAACTAATTTTTCAATATTTATAGAACCAATCACAAAATGTGTATATTTTAAACAAATTAAGTATGCCAACTAGGACTGTACAGCAATGTTCTTCATTTCAAGGCACACGGACTACTGGTGGACTTAAGTGCGGGCCCCTGACGTGCGGCCGCCAAAAATACACAAACGTGAAAAAAACACCACCTTGCAGGCGGTATGGCGGTCCTCACACTTATGCCTTATATATTTACGCCATCTAACCCGAAAGAACACTATGATGGATGATATTGGTCGCGAAAGCCTACATGTTAAACCGATGCTTTATCGGCAAAAGTGCCCCCCCTCTCTGAAATAACACTGCTGTACAAGTTCCACTCACTGAGCTCAGCAGCAACTTCATCCAGGGAAATGGTGTAGCGAGAGGTAGAGGCCGGGTAGTTTGGATAGCGGGCCAGGAACTTGAGGCAAAGCAGACCCAGGCTTTTTTCTTTTCGGCTGCCAGTTGAGCGCTCAAATTCCTCTCCAAAAAATGTATCCTAAAACCCACAACGGAGAGAGAAAAACCTTCACCACAAAATGTATGCAAGATGTGTGCTGCATAAAAAATGTCAGCTCAGACCACAAATAGGTGATTTTCTTTTAGAAAAGCACCAGCCCACATCTAGTGAATATGATTCTATACTCCCTATAATTGTCATTTAGAATAGCTGCAGACAACCGAGGTGAATGCATTAAAGGCCAACAAACCACAATAATCTAAGTATAAACACGGTGCAAACCTGCGAGCTCTCGTCATCCAACACGTTATCAAGACGCCGAAAGAGAACCTTCTTTCGGTTTTCCAGGTTCCTGATTTCTGGACTGGCCGCACTGATGAGCATCTTTAAATTTGCTGTGGGGGTCAAGGGGTCGGTGCCAGCCTTGGTGGACCACGGGGAAGTACTCCTCCTCCGCTTGGGCGTGACCCAAGGCTCATCTTCGCCGCATTGCGGCTTGGTCGGCGTTCTGTCCCCTTGACAGTTGACGATCTGCAACGCCAACTCATGCTTCTTTGGAGTCTTTGGGATTTTCCTTACCACGTCGCCTGGCCAGTTTTCCTGGAAAGAATATCGCGTTTTCATTACACTTACATAGTAGTATTGTAGACGTGAACTTGTGCACAACGAATGGCAACAGCAGCCTGCACTGTTTGTATGTTTACAAGTACGAACCATGAATAAACCTTAGAGATCCATTTAGATGTAACAACACGCAATGGTTTGTATTGCATGTGTGCAGGCCACCAGCTCAAAAGAACTGAATGTAGCTATTTTATAGACCACCAACTGAAATAATTGAGAAAATGTGGTCATACCAACAAAATGGCCACACATTCAGTGCTTTTGAGAACTGAATGTGTTAGTCAATCTATTTCTTTCCAGCTTGAATTTTTCTGTTGTGATAAATGTTCTCATCATTATAGATTCATTATCCCATTCCAATATATATTAATCAAACATAAAAATAGTTAGTGCAGACAGTGGAATCCTCTGTAGAGTGGATCATTTTCAGGGTAGATTACTCTAAACTGTACAGTGTGTAGAACGTACTGCATGGAGTGTAGACTGTATTGTGTAGTTTAAAGTACTACGTACAGAATGTACTGGGTGGATTGTACAGGACAGACTGTGGAGTACGGTGGACCAACCTTCTGTTCTTTGGACCATAGTAGGGTCACCTGGTTCCCAGTATTCTCACTCCCCCCAGAGCTCATTCCTGCACACTTATCAACAACAACACACACACACACTTTATAAATACAAACGTAAACAAAATATTAAAACAATTATAATTATTTAAAAACAAAACTTCCAGTACGGTATTTCTCTCACGGTGATGACTCCCGCTCCCTACACGGCCCAGGTCAATGCTTAGCAATAAGTTAGCCGTGTTAATTTGCCAAAGTATACATTCATTGGAAATAAAACCTCGTACAGCCGATATACATTTGTGTTAACAGCTGTTGAGTATTATTAACAATAGTGCAGCCTGCGCTGAGGGTAATGTTATAATCGTTAATACGAAGGGCGCGTAGGAACTCGGGGCAACAGACAGCGCCAAATTTTGATTCAAATTTCAAAAGCGCCTTTAAAAACAGCGTTCCCGCGTTTAAAATAAAGCGCCGTGAATTACGAAACACTGGTTGAGGGAACGCCGTTAAAATACGCGGCGACGACTTCGAAACGTCGTCAACAAGTGACGTTTGAAAAAAAAACCAAAAACCTATAAGAATTCGCGTTGAGAGAAATAAGAGCGGGAAGTTGGGCAGAGGGAGTCGACGTGTAACCTCCTCCTGCTTCCTCCCATTGGAACGCAAATGTAGTCCGCGGTTATTCTAATGTAAATACATCGTTTACCTAACTCGTGTGTGCAATTCACTTACACACACACAGGACCACGCTGCGTATTAGTATTAATCGTAACAACGCCCGTGGCTGCGACCGCGTAGTGTTTTAGTAGACGAGCGACGTACGAAAGTCGGCAAGGGTTTTACAAGCTATAACTCTTTGGGTCTTTCGGCAAAGTCACGTAGGTAGAAGAAGAAGAATTGATCACTACGTTCTACCTACGTGACTTTGCCGAAAGACCCAAACAGTATGGATCCCTGCGGTCGCGAAAGCTTTCAAATCGAGAATAAGAAGCTGGTAAAGAGTAGCGAGTCCAAGCACTATGCAACATGCCCAACCGAGGGCTGACCACATTTAAGCGGCAACTCGTTTACTCCACGAGAGTAACTCACGTAACCAGCACCACATATGCGGCGATGGGTGCCCGACAACCACGCCCGGCCGCCTTTGTATCTCCCACGGCTGATGTTTACACACCGCGCCGGGTACGGTTACTCAGTTAAGGTTGAGTCCAGAAACTATTCAAGATAATCCGTCACTGTCGTTCAGCGGGAAGTGAACTCGGGTGGCCGGGTTCGTAGCGCCAACTCGCCGCAAACAACTTTCTATACATGGAAGAAGAAGAAGAAAAACAAACTTCACGAACCTGGTTTTGAAGAAGGCGTCTCCCCCCCGCGCCCCGCGCGGCCCCGGGACGCTCTACGATGGCCGTGGAAGATCTTCTTCGCGCGTTAGTCACCACCACCACTACCACCGCACGAGCGAGGTGTTGTGAGGAGAACGAGAGGAAATAGGGAGAGGGGGGGAAAGAGAGAGAGGGAGAGCTAGTGAATAAGTTGTACGAGTGGTTTCCGTACCGCTTGCTCGCGCTCCTCTCTCTCGCCGTCGGTTTTTTTTTAGTTTTTCCCGCGCAACGCTCGCGCCAAACTCCCTCTCGAAATACGAAAAAACACCACGGCCTTCAGCCCCTCCCCCCACCAGGAAACGCACCAATCACAGGGCTAGGCCTGCAACCGCGTAACCCCAATCGCGCGTCACGATTGGTTGGCGCGCGAGGTGGGAGGGGGGGTGAAGGGCGGGGGGATAGGGGTGGGTGCGCGGTAGAGGGAGGGCGGGAGAAGGGAGGGGGTGAAAGCCCCCGCCCAACCAATAGGAGGGCGCGCGAGGGCCGATCCGGTGGGGGGGAGGGAGTGAGAATGACGTCATAACAGGCGGGAGTGATGGGGGGGTTGATGGGGAAAAGGGGCGGAGCCAAATAGGAGGGCGGTGACGTCGGGCGATGACTCACACGTGGAGCCAGGTGGGAGGTTTCACCTCCACACTCAGCGGGCTTTGCCCAGGTGGAGCCCATACCCAATGCATGACTTGTGCAGGGTGGTCCAGATGTGTCACGTTGACAAAAGACAAATAATTCACTACTTTAGCCCACCGGTGTGTTGAAGAGTGAATCCATAACTCATAATATTGTTTTTTTGGGGTTAGATCGCATAAATATAAATATGTCGTTAAACCCGCCACCACCCGACAAAGCCAATTGGTAAGGGTTGTCACGTAAACGAAACGTCGTACTCAGATTGTAAATGTTGTGGATTTACCCTCCAACACACTGGTGTGCTGTACTAGTGTAGTGATGTATATTGAGTTACTATGGCGTCTAGCGCCTGCTATTGGACGAAGAGTGGTACTGTGCATGTTGGCGTCTCTCTCTAGCACCAGAGTGTGTATGGCTTAGAAGCGGGCCCTAGGGGGCATGCTTCTGGTGACGGCCAGAGAGAGGGCACTTCAGGATATGACAGTCTGGGTGAACCCGAGAGGGCATGTGACCTGGAGAGAGTGTTGAGGGGGACCAAGGGGTGGCGAGAGGGACACGTGGCAGAAGGCCCAGAACCCTCTAGTTTCTAGTAGGATCTAGAAGGGGGCGTGGCCTAGGGCGGAGCCAGGCCACGCTCAGGGGCATAAAAGGGGAGTCCCGAGCGCCGATCGGGGCTGTCTTCTGGAATCAACCTGCCATGCTGTGTCTCCTCGATCTTCGGTCTTCGGTCGTCACGCTCGGCATCGTGGGTCAGGCAGTACGTTACTGACTTGACCCGGTTATGTAGTTGCCCGTCGTAGTTTAGCCACTAGTGGAAGTTAGCTACGACCTATGTCGTTATCCCATACATTTATGTAGTTACCCTGTTGGGGTGTTGTAATAAACGTGTCGCCTCCAAGTTCTAGTGTGTGTCTCCGTGGATGCCACTACACTAGTAACGAAGTGGCATGTTCTATTTACGTAACAAACCTTACTAATTGGCTGTGCCGGGTGGTGGCGGGTTTAACGTCACATTTATATTTACGCGATCTAACCCCCTCCCCCCCCCAAAAAAAAACCAACCTGTATGATGCATGATATTGGTCGCGAAAGCCTACTTGTTAAACTGTGTTATTTTACTACTGCCTCTGGTGCAAAGGTGGCATTTTCAGTTCGATCTCCTTGCGCGGCAGTTTAAACAATAGAGTTTGAGTTAGCCCCCTCGAGAGGATATTTGGTCTGCTCTTTCATTCTCACGCCACAGGCCAAACATCTCGGGAGAAGTGGGAGTCACCCACGCTGTAACCTACCAACAGTATAAACGGGTACGCAACACGTTGCGTATGGCGGGGTGAAGCATGGGTAACTCCCATCTCTCCCAAGATGTTTGGTCTGCGGCGTGGAAGAGTAGACCAAATAGCCTCTAGAAGGTCGCTCTAAGAGCTCCGTCGAGTGGAGGCCCTTCCGCCTAAAGTGGCGTGAGAAAGTAATTGTTATGATGAAAAAAACATGAATAGGCTTTACCCTTTCTGGCAATAAAACTACTTCGGCTGCCTTTTTTCTCAAAACCTATATAAACTCTTGCCGGTAACAGCTTCTCTTCACAAGGGAGCAGATATCGTGCTGCTCGCAGCAGACATCGCAGCTGTCGCGATTTTCACCTGAAGACGATGGCTTGTGTTGCGTTCGAAACGTCGGGATTTATTTTATTTTATTTCTACCTACGTGACTTTACCGAACGAACCAAAGAGTAATAAAACAGGTGTTAAGGTGGGCAAACACCAAATACTGTAGATATCTATTGCAAGGCATAACGTCTGCATTTACCACACATACTTGTTGCAAAACGTGCAAACAAACATGCTCTGATAATTCATATATTGTTATGGCTACAACCTTTGCATATGTGGAATTACAGAGCATGCAGGGATTGATTGACTTTCACCTGGTCCCACATAAAAGTCAATGTAAGAAAATAATAAGGGGACTTTCTAAAATAAGTCCAACATTTTCCCCACCACCAGCCCTGGGATTTGCAGATTATATCTGTTTTCTTCCAGTTGCACTAAGTGTTAATCCTCTTTCAATAAATGGGTGTGTGCTCATAAACAGTCCCGTACTTGGCGTCAGTTGAGACTTAAGCAGGTCACGGTGTCCTGTTGGATATTGCAACACCCTCCTGATATAAATTATACCGCACTGCAGTTTTATTGAACGTGACATGCTTGGGTTAGTGATGTGGTGTGTGTCTCTCTCTCTGCGTTGAAAAAAAAAAACTCATTTGTTCGAATAAGTCGAGTTAATGCAATTCAAATTGTTTGGAAAATTGATCGGATTAGATCTGGAACGACGAGTCGATTAAGTCGATGCCGATGACGACTACAAGCCACGTCCAAGTATCCATAGGCACCCTGGTGAGACTTAAAAATAATCGAATTTCGTATTAGGCTATTAATTGATAGAGGAATCATGCCTTAAATCATCAGATATTTCAGATCTATATAAGATGATTAAAGTATACTGTATATTCCTTCCAATAACGTATCCCACCCCCTGCCCGCCACTTGTGGTCGTGATGTCAATGTATAACATCGAATACTTTCACTTGAGACCGAGTGAGGACGTTTTAAGTCGAACGATGACACCAATACCAACCAAATACAGAAGCTGTGTCAGGAACAGTGTTACGAATCGTAGTACTGTAATTGTATGAATCGTAGTAATTGCTGCTAAATTGAATGAAATTGCTGTTGCGTCACAGGACAGGAGTGGATGTTAAAATAAAATATTCGTTTTGGAAAAAATTGTCACTCATCTTATCATGGTATACTTTGCTGCAAATAAGATAAGTTCTCCAATTATTGCCGTATTAATCTAACCCCAGTGAATAATTGGCGTTTGTGTTCCCTCCAGCTTAGGGTGTGTCCAAAGATGGTCCAAATGATGATCTCCTTGATGTGTCCACACTGGAGGAGCACCTTTGTCAACATGCATTGCCTAAGGCTTTTAAACAAAGCTAAAACACAATAAAAACAGCAATCTAAAGCCACGTCGTTACACTAAACAGACAAAACAAAGTGCAACTAATTAATGGAACCATATGAGTGTTTCTTGTGGTAATGTCTTCGATATGGGACGGAATTCCTGCTCTCCAGAGAAAAAAAAATATTCGATGTCCAGTTTAGTTTGGAGCTGTTGAGTGTTTTCATTTAAATATAGTGCGTTCAATTATATGAAACGAATACATATCTGTCCTATCTCATCTCAATGTCTAGACCATTCCATCTCTCCCTTCTACTCTATCTGCATGCATCTTCTGTCCCATTGTCTTTCTCTGAAGATTGTATTTGCTCTGATATTTCTTAGTTCACCTAGTTGCATCCCAAACCGCTGCTTGTATTTGAAGCCATGACCCAGTGTGATTAAAATGTGCGTGTGACGTAGATATCTTAATGATTTCGAGGGTATTGTTTGCCTTTCGTAAAAAAAAAAGCTATCGATGCTTCGTATATGTACTGTGAATGAACGCTTTCTTAAATTGGTTTCAAACATGAAAATCTTCAGCACCAAATGTGAGATGGTATTACCAACGTTTATTTGACAAAAATATATACGTCCATATATTCTCCCACTACAATGTTCTGGAGATTCTATTTTCGTGTTTTTCTACTCAACGTGATACCGCAATGAGATGTTCAATCAAGGGGAACTGGTTTGCAAGAAAACGAGTTGCATACCAAGTGTAAAAGTCATTGGTTGTTGTGACTGTGATCAGGGAGGCCTCATTTGCCTATGCATATATGTACAGGTGTCTACACTGAGGGTGGCCATGTGGACAGATGTATTCCTCTTTGAGCCAGCATTAAAAAAATCCTGAAATTAAATAACCGTCTTTATGATCACGCAGCCTTACCTCGCTTATTATGAAGAAAGTAATAAACAAAAAGTGAGCTGGACAGAAGGAAATCAATGTTTGAGGGACACCACTGGTAAGCACAATCAAGTATATATCTTCAGAACAAATCAATATATACTAAGTAAAAATAAAATAAAGTGAGCGAGAGGAGGATGCAGCACTTTTGAAAAGTTATAGTGATATTAAAACGAGACAAACCAATATGCCGAAAGAAGAATGCATTCAATCGGTGGACATTGCCTGCTCTGACATGGAAACATGGGCTTCGATAAAAAAAAACAATTGGAACAGAAGCTGAAAAGTTTGCAAAGAGACGTGAAAAAAATGCATGCTGAGAAGTCGACTGAAAAATTGAAAGAGGGACACTGGGATCAGAGAACAAATGAAATTTAAAGACATCGTGTTGACTTTTGAAGAATGATGAAGAAGCAAGGGCTAGAGACGTCTCAAGATGGGGATCAGAGCACATGGGCAAGACTGGTGATGGAATGGCACCCATAGGAACGAGCACGCCTGGGAGGGAAAAACCCACAGAATTGGTGCTACCCTAGCTCAGCTCTTGCATGTGAAGATGGATTGCGCTATCGCAGGACCGTTCATTTCATTTAGCGTTTGCACAATCGCCGAGCCATGTGATATCGTCCTCAGTGGCCACGTGTAGTTTCCACAGACCTCCTTTGAACTGAGCAGACAATCGCATATTGTTGATGGCAGGACCGTGAGGCTTGCTGATAATGTAGGAAGGCCTCTCATGCAGCAATGGATAGAAG